ATAGCATTCTTCTCAATTTTTCCTAAACGAACTTGAAAGCCTTGTTGTTTTGCATATGTTTTAACTGCTATAATAAAAGTTTCTTCGGAAGAATAAGTATCACCTTCGTTAAGTTTAACATTAGGAATTTCACTATTAAAAGTATCTTCAGAAAACTCAAAAAATACTGAATCATAGTCATAAGTTTCTTGAAAATTTTTTTCCATTTCAAAGTATTGAAATTGTGTGCAAAGGCGGTGTGAAAAAAAGTAGTATACATCGTATACAAGATAATCGATAATCATTGTTTATTATGACGTAAGTGATGACGCGTTATGATGTGATGTGTAATCATAGATCAGGATCAGCCAATTACAGAGGGGAGGTCTAGGATAAACGCCTAGACCCCCTGATGCAGGTTAAGATTCTCCTAATTTTATTAGTGCATATATATATCATGTGACAAAATAGTTTCATCATGATTAGAATTTATATTTATACATTAAACATGTATAACAAATTAGCGTTTATAATTAATAAAGATACTATCAGTATATTCTAAAATAGTTTAGTATTAATTGGGTTGTTGTGATATTGTATTAATATAAAATCCTGAAATCAAAATTATTCGTCACATTAATATTGGTTCACATTATGAAAAGTGTATGATAAATATGACTGCATGTAAAATGCGATAAAGAGGTTTCAGGATTTCAACTTTCAGGATTCAAATGGATTTCACAGTATTAAATATATTAACTGATTGGTGGATATACGCGTAACTTAATTTTGCTTTTTTGACACGACTATAATTTTTTTACTTTGTGCACTTTGTGATTAGAAGAATTTTTTTTCCTTATAAAAATCAATATTAATTAAATAATAAAAAAGTTGACTTGCCTGTATAGTAATATTCTAATATGTCACGTTCAACAAAACATCAAAAACATTTAAAAAAATTTGTGAAGCAAAAAAAGCTAAACGTCAGTATACCAGAAGTAATATTGATATTGATAACGTATCTGATTTTGAAAGTTATCCTAATGTTAATGATATTTTTTTTTAAGATAAACTGAAAGGCTATAATAATATTAAAGATCCCGATAATAGCAATATTTCTTTTTATGATAATAATTTTTCCATTTATAATAAGCCAATAGAAAATGATAATGCCATAAGCATTGTAAAAAAACTACAAGAAGCGGCAAAAAAGTATCATTAGGAATATGCTTCTCAAGAAATACATAGATTATGTTATATAGGAAACTCAAGTTGCACTAAAAGAAGAAAGAATCAGCAATAGCATGAAGCAGCAAAAGGAACCCTTAAGTTACATATCTTTTAGAATGTTAAGAAATCTACTGAAGAAATTGAAGAATTAGATGATGAGATTAATATAGATGTAGATGATAATACTGATGAATAGTTAGTATTAGATGATAATGCTAATAAACAGTTGGATAATGAGGTTAAGGATTATAATTGGTATAATAAAATCCTGGATGCTTTTAAAAGTCTAATGTTAGATATTAAAAAAGAAAAAACAAATAGTAAGGTTTAGATGTGTTTAAATAGCATTTGTCTTTATTTTCAACTTATGAAAAGTAACCATCCAAAAATGCAAGTGAGCGAAATTTTTGCTAATGCAGCAGGAAAAGGAACATACCATGCTAAATGCATTCGTTCTTAGGCACGTGAATATATAAAGAATCATAAAATTTTCTACTCCTGTCGAGAACATCATGCTAAGATATGGAGTTTTCTTTAGGATGAAGATATTCTCCTTTAAGTGAAGTCATTTGTTCAGGAACATAAGTAGGAAATTACTCTACAAATATTAATGATATAAATGAATGAGAATATTTTACTAGGGCTCAGATTTGCATTGTCTTTAATTATTCATATAAATACTGCAAAAAACTATTTAAAAGAGCTTGGTTATACATATGCAAAAGTAAAAAAGGGAATGTACATAGATGGGTATGAAAGAAAAGATATGGTAGCTTATCAAAAAATATTTTTAAAATGAATAAGTGAACTTGAGCTTAGAATGCCTATTTTTCAGGAGACAACTTAGAAGAAGTAACCTGACCAGATAATCTACTTATTCTTATTACGCACGACGAATGCATTTTCTTAGCTTATGATAAAAGTCAGAGTCTTTAGATCTCTAATAGAGAACATCCCTTACGAAAAAAAGGTAATGGTCGTTCGATTCATGTCAGTGACTTTTTAACTGATGTTTGTGATTGTCTTACACTTTCTGACGAAATACAGGTATCAGATAATTTTTCTAAAGAGACCTGTATTATTATGAATTCAGGTAAAAACAATGATGGATGGTGGAAGGCTGAAGATTTGGTAAACTAAGTAGTCGAACGTGCTATTTCCATATTTGAAAAACATTTTCCAGGGTATCAGGTTTTATTTGTATTTGATAATGCATCAAGCCATGCTACTTTTTCACCAGATGCACTAATTGCCAAGCATATGAATCTTAATCCTAGTGGAAAGTAACTGAAGATGCGCAGCACATATTTTATTGAGGGAATTCAACAAGAAATGGTTTTTCCATTGGATTATCATATTTCTAAACTGCGTAAATAGCCAAAAGAGTTAAAGCAAGTTTTAACAGAAAGGGATTGTGGCCAAATGGAGGGTTAAAATTGGAAGAAACACAAAAAATTATGAGTTAGCAGCTGGATTTTTTAACACAAAAGGAACAATTAGAAGAGGTTATTATTGCAGCTGGACATTAAATCATATTCTATCTTAAATTTCATTGTGAATTCAATTATATTGAGAACTTTTGGGATGCAACTAAGAAATTTAGTCGGTCAAATTGTGATTACTCATGGACGGGATTACAAAGGACTGTTTCATTGGCTCTTACTTCTGTTTCACTTACAACTATTCATCAGTATACAATGAAGGCATTTTACTATATGAATGTATACCGAAAAGGCTTAATAAGTCAGGTAGTAGAATTTGCGGTTAAAAAGTATCGTTCACATTGTCGGGTTTCTGATACAGTTTTACAAACAGTTATTATTTAGGCAAAATATACTGGATTATTTACACTGGCTATGGATAAAAAGAAAAGCAAAAAATTAGTAATATGTAAATTTTACGCATATCAATAATAGCAATTAAAATACTTATCTTTTAAATCTTTTGTTTATATTTTAATAAAGATAACAAGGGGTGGAAATCTTTTTTTTTAAAAGATTGTGGCTTTTGATCAGTATCACAAAAATGAAAATCAACCAATAAAAAGTAAGAAAATTGATCACGTGAATCATGTAAGAAGCGGTCAAAATTTCTGATTTAATAGTAAAATGACCTCACTTTTAAATTACTACTGCTCTATCAAAAATAGTTTTATCAGAATTTTAAAAATATAGTTTTGTTAGGCTTGAGTTACTTTATCATTTTATGATTATATTTTATATTTATCATATTTTTTGAATGAGGAATAGCAATTTGAATTTTATCAAATTTATTGGTTAAGACTAAATTATATGCACTGTAGTACTATAAATAAAATTTTAATAATAAATAAAATTTTTTGAATTTTTTGATTTTATATAAGATTTAAAAAAAAGTTGAAAATTTTAAGATTAATTAATATAATAAAGAATTAGATTAATTTATAATATAAAAGTATATATTTTGAGTTAAATTTAAAGTATACATAAATAATAATTAAATTTAAATTTTAAATTAAAGTTTATTTTAATATAATATAAGTTATAAAATATTAATATATTTTATAATATAGAAGGTTTACTAGAAAAATAAGACTTTATGAATTTTTTAATAAAATTTTGTTTTTTATTGCATTTTAATTTTTAATGTTATTAAATTAAAATATAATAAGATTTTAATTTTAATCAAAAAATTTTCAAAATCCCATTTTCTTAGAGGGTTTCTAGAAAAATCAGGTTTTGAGAAATTTTTGACTTAAATTAAGAGCTTAATATATTTTAATCTAATAACATCAAAAACTAAAATGCAATAAAAATCTCAATATTGTTATAAAAAATTCTGAAACTTGATTTTCTTAGCAATCAATCTATATATAATCTTAGTTATGAATTTCAATTATAAATTTATAAGTTTTAGCTAACTATTTTGATAATTCTATTTAAAATTAAATAAAATAATAATTATAAATTATTTATATATTTCAATCTTATGATTTTAAATATCAATTAAAAATATAAAAGAATACTATATCTATCTAAAAATATAAAATATATAAAGTCATTAATTATTGCTTATAATCTTTAAAATATATAATTTAAATAATATAATTTATCTGATTTTTTTATATTATTAAAAGAGAAATAATATTTGAAGCTTATTTTGTTATCCCTTTAACTGTTTTCTTACAAATTTGTAGATAATTTTATTTATTAATTACAATTATTTTTAATTATTTTAAATATTTTAAAATATATTATTAAAAAATTAATACTTTTATAATAAAGTTTATAATGTTTTCTAAGTAAAAATTAAAAAAAAAATGTAATTAACTAGTGATTTTTTAAAGTTGTTGATCGCAAAAGGTCTTGACTATTGCCTAAGATTTCTAAAATAAGATTTTTCTCCTTTAAACTGTATTTATTTGAAATCTTTTGTTCAATGAATCCAAGTATTTTTAGATTGTAATCTAAAAAAAGTTCATATTGTGAATTTTAAAAATCAAAATCTAGTATCTATTATAAAAGGGGTTTGGTTTAATTAACTGACAATTATTTTATCAACAATCATTTAACTGACAATCATTTGGTCGTTAGGTATATTTTATCAACACTTGGAGTAACAACTATCATTTTACTGATATGCTTATTTCACCAACAGATTATTACATTGACAAAATATAAAACTTTCTTATCCAATCTACTGAATAAAAAATATAAAGCTTTAAAAATTTTATTATTTATTAGAGAAATAATCTATTGATGAAATAACCATGTCAGTGAAATAATCATGTTATTAAAATGATAGTTGGTAAACTAAGTGTCAATAAAATGTACCTGTTGGCTAAATGATTGTTAGTTAAATGATTATCGGTAAAATGATTATTGGTAAGTTGAATGTGACCTGACTTTACATAATTGCTTTTAGAAATTTAATAAAATCTAAAAGGCTTGCTTTAGAATAGTGATCTGAAATATTGTGAATATCATCTTTTGAAAAAATATATATAGACCTTTCAGCCCACCACAACCTTACAAACTGAATATTATAATAAAAATGCAGGATACCAATGGCCACTAACTTATTTACTTTCTTATCATTGTATCATTTTGATCTAATCATATCAACCAAAATATCTTTCAAAGACTTTGACATTTTAAAAGATTCAATAAAAAGTTTTCTATCTTCATCATTTATAAAGGAACTTACTACTTCAAGTGCAATCAATTTTATATTATAAGTTGGATGATAAATAATTCCATTAATATTTCTGCCAGTCAATTTTCTATGCTTTGATTTTCTAGCTTAATTCTTTCTATTTGCTGAGACAGTTGATGATGCATTCATCTTTTTAATATCTGTTGATATTTTAGGTAGGGATAAAGATAGTTCTATCAGTTTTATTTCAGTTTCTCTTCAGTTCTACTTTAACTCTTCTTAAGTAAATTAAACTTTAAGCGTTAAGTTAAATTTATACTAATAGAGCATAATGTGATGATCAATTTAAAAAAATTTTTAAACTGATTATCAAATAAATTCATTCTATTATTACTTTTAATTTAATAACATTCTGATTTTGAGTCAACTCTTAGAACTAGTTTGAAGTTAGTTCTAGTTCAATTTTTAAAATTGGTTAAAAATAGTTTGTAATTCAGGAAAACCTAAAATATGTTAAATTTATAATTAGTTCTAGAATTAATTCAGAGTTACTCTTTTTAAACTATTCCTATTTCTATTCTTGGATGTCTTATCAAAAAATCAAAATAATTTCTAAATAGGTTGACTTAAACCAGTTCTCGTATTACTTCTAGTACAAAAAGGTAGATGGATTTTCATAAAGGTTGCACAAATATCTTAATGTAACTTGGATCCATTCTTTATAGTAATGCTCCTTTAGATCATAATATTCATCTTCTTTTAGAAAATCACATATCACTTCTCAGCAAAGTTCAACAAGATTTTCTTTATGTATTTAGCTAATTCTTTTTCAATTTCATAATTAACAAATAGCAATAAAGGTTTCTTCATAAATTCTTTTTAGTCTACTTTACTGAATAATGCTTTTATTTTATCATCATGATCACATATGATGAAGAAGTATGCATGAATATGATTTATTTAATATGTTAGATTAGAAAATGCTAAAAAATTCAAATTAAATATATTTACCTCTTATAATCCAGATCTTTTGCATATTCAAAAATAATATTTTCTACTACGGTTTTAAATTTAAAATAAGTTTTTTTTTGTAAGTATCCTCTAAAAAATTTTTGAAATTGTTCCTTTTGTTCTTGAGGTTATTCGATTTCTATAATCTTCTTTTGTATTATCAGTGTAGTTCTCATTCTCCTCATATTTTTTGTTGTCTAAGGTTTCATAGTTATTATGAACTTCTTTGAGAGCATACTTTTTTGATATATTATATCTGAATATTAGAAAAATGAATTTTCTTCATCATTTTCCAATCATTTTAGTGTATATTATCTATTAGATGAATTATTAGACTAAATACAGAAAAATAGAGTTAAGTTTGTAAATTGCTTCTATCAGATAATTATTATCCTAATACTTACTAACTTTATATTGAGACGATGAGAAGAAAAAAATATATAAGTAAAGCAAAAAATAATTTTGTTGTCATAATGCATCAATAAACCTCGAATTCATCTGTTGTCTATAAATTAATTTTGTCATTATCCTCATAGTTTTTATAATTATTACAACTCAAAAATATATCATTATCTACTCTCATTTGCTAGATAAAGACAGCTAAGTCAAAAGGATTGATAACTTTAATCAGAAACAATTTATAAGAAAATAATAATATATCTTCTGAATTTTTCACAAGGGAGGTTTACAGTTTTTTGAAAATCTTTTGAAGGCTATAATGATTTTTTACAATATTGATTACTATCTGTACTCATACAGTTTACTAATAAGTTTTAATCTCATCAGACTCTCTCTTCAAAAAAAAGAAGAACATACGATTAGTTTATATATAAATACAAATAAAGTATATATTAAAAGTACAAAATAATATTAGTATGCTATATAGGATAAAAGAGTGAATATATATATTCCTTTGCCTTCAAATATTAGGCATCTTTAATTCAGAACAACTCACTTGCACGAAGCATATAATATTAGACTTGAAGTGCAGAGAGGTAGAATGATATAGAGACCTGCTATCATACTTTAAGAAAGGAACTTATAAATTAAGTGTAAATCCTATCAGCAGAAATATCACATCATTATAATGATGAATGTGTGCTTTCTTATCTTTAACTGCTGATAACTTGAACTATCTATACAAGAACAAGCAATCTGTTTCTATGAAGGTGGCTGAAGACTTTTCACATTATGTGAAGTTTCTTTCCCTATCTTATTTTCAAATTGCTCATTTTTGTTTACTTTGCATCAGCTAAGTTTTGAGACTTTATTATATTAACAACTTTTAACGTGACTTTAAATCTAAAAATTATAACCCTTCTCTTATAAGCGGACAATTTTCCACTATATCTTTCAATTCTGTATTAAAAGTATGTAATACTTGATTCTTTGACAAACTATGTGATTGAGATTTTTTTGTATAGTATAAAAATGTAAAAATTTTCACTCAAAAGAATCTACTCTGTTGAAATAATTTATGGTATATTGCATTGTTCAATAAATTTTTGTTTCAATCTAGTTTGAATTATAGTTTAAAAAAGATTTTGTGTATACAAAATAATAAATATGAAATTACAAAACTACTCACATATATAATATAATTAATTAACAGCACATTAATTGATTAACATTTTTTAAATTGATTAATCAAATCAAAGAAAAATATGTATTATGTGAGTTTCAGTGGGACTGTCTCAAATAAGAAAAGTGATTATACAATTTATTAAAAAAATTTTTTATATTGTTTAAAATACATTTTTAGAGATCTTCTATTAGTCTATTCTTGCAATAAATTGTGAGTAATTAAATTAGACAAACTTGAAACTCTTATGCTGTGTTATAATTATAGATACCTGCTAAAACCTCCTCAAAATAATTTTGTCATACCCTTTTCTATGTTTTTAATATAGTTTCAACAGTTTCAGCTTTCATTATATTAAAAGGGTTTTATCATATCCTTTATTATGATTTTAATATAGTTTCGTCTAAGTTTTGACTATTATTAAGGGGTTTCATCCCTCATTATTAGTTATAATAATAATTGTTGAATCCACTTGAATCCAATAACTTTATAATATTTTTAACCTAGCAAAAACATGTCTAAAGGAGGTATTATATAAAATATAAAACTACTAAGTTATCTAGATTTCGCAGCTGAAAGAAATAAATGGAAAGATGCTAAAAATAACAATTTAGTGAAGGTAATATAAACAGAAAATACTATTTTATGTAATATATGCTATATAAAATTAGTAAAAAATCCTTTAAAAAGAGGATCTAAGAAAGCAAGAACTATAGCTGAAAAAGTCATTGGTAAAGAAACTACAAAAGAAAATATTATAGACAAAAAAAAGGTAAATGCAAAAATTGAGTTTATTAAAACTATTAAAGTGATAACAAAATTCTTTTATGATAGAGAGCATTTGAAAAAAAAAGATCCTATATACAAATTTGACAAAATATGAAAATTACTTCAAAAATTTAAACTAAACTCAAAGGTTTTTTTTAATCAACTTTATTCAGTAGCTTAGTCACTCAAACGTAATAAGTAAATAATAGATTGTATGAAAAATTAATAGTGTTAATATGCTACCTTCTTGCTTCATTAAATAATACAAAAATTAATTCTTTTAAATTTGATTTTGCATTTTTTAGATTCAGTAAGTATAAATAATAAAGGCTTGAATACAATAGCAAATCTCAGTGTAGTTATAACATCAAGATTAATAGATTGCAAAAAGAAAAAAATTTCAGATTCACATAAAGAATATGTAAAAAATGCTTTTATAAAAATT